GTTGTTCTTGAGTATAATTTACTTAATTGTTTCTGGCCTGGTAAGTATACCCAGAGGCTTTATATTGATGTATGTGATCCAACAAAAACAAAAAACAATAAGGTCTTCATCGACTTGTGGTTTAATGGCTTTAAATAAATTAACTTCTTTTGGATCAATTCAGCACACTGATGATATTTGAAATCTATTAACTTTTCAAGTTACAAAACTTTAATATATAACTTTGGAGAAACCATTGAACATACATCAAGCAAAGGTAATATTTCCTCCGAACAGAAAACTTCAAAACGCGTAGCTATGTACCTCATAAAGGCATAAAACCTCATCTGCAGAAAAGCTCTGGCCCTGAATTCCAGTTTTAGATTTAGACTCTTGGGCCAATGCTTAATTGAAACAGAGTCTTTATAAAAAATTGAAAGCATTTGATTACAATGCAGAGAATATGAGATATGGGTTAATCACAGTTCTAAACAAAACTAACCACTAGGGCCTTAATCATGAGCCTACTCTAATTCATATGTGGCAACCAATTGTGTTCTATTTGGAGGTAGGGCTTTTAGAAGAAATTCTAGTTAAAGAGGCCATGGGGTGGGCCCTGTATCTAATAGGATGAATGGCCTTAAAAGAAGTAGCTCTGTGTGTGTGTGTGTGTGTGTGTGTGTGTGTATGTGTGTGTGTGTTCGTGGACATACATGTGTGTGAAGGGAGATGGCATCTGTTGGCTTGACAAGAAGAGAGTCCTCTCCAGAAACCCTACCAGCTAGCTTCTTGCTCTTAGATACTCCTAGCCTTCAAATGATGACATTTCCTTGTTTTCATCCAATCTACAGTGTTTTGTTATAGCAGCTCAAGTGGACTAATACAGTATAAGTAACTTTCAAATAAGTTACTTCCATAGCATTTCTGGGCCTCAGTTTCCTGAAATATATAATTTGTGGATCAGGCTAATATAACCAAGTTGTTGTTCAGCTTTAGTACTGAATCTAACTGAAATTGTGTTGGTTCCAGTAGACAGCCAAAAATATTTATGTGTGTTTTTTAAATTGAGGTTCAAGTTCTCAGAAGAGTTACAAAATGACACAGAGAAGTTCTATGCATCTTTTATCCAGATTCAGCCAACTTTTAATAGTTTTTCTTACTTTTTTCATATTCTCCATGTATATGTATAATATGGACACATATTTCTTTGTGAACCAATAGAAAATTAATTATTCCTTAAGACTTCAAAGTATACAGGGCATTTTCTCACTAGCTATGGTTGCTATCTCCAGGAAACTTCCTGGTGGTAGAACACTTAGGTAATCTGTAGCCCATGATCCAATTTGATCAATTGTGTCAATTGTGTTAGACACATCCAGGCTACTTATTCATTACTCTGACTTTAGGTTTGAGTAGATTTCATGTTGCCTCCTGATTAAATTCTGTGGCTGTGGCCACAGTTGCATGAAGTATCCTTTTAGGGTGTCACATTAGGAGACACATGATGTCCACATGGCTTTTATTGGTGATGTTCAGTTTTTTTCTGGTACTGGGCCTTGAACTCAGTCTCTTGCTCTCACTTGGCTTTTTCCCTCAAGGCTGATGCTCTAACCCTTGAGTCACACCTCCAATACTATCTTATTTTTGCTGGTTAATTGGAGGTAAGGGTCTCTCAGATTTGTCTACCCAGGCTAGCTTTGAACTAATTATCAGATCTCAGCCTCCTGAGTAGCTAGGATTACAGGTGTGAGCCACCAGAGCCTGGTTGTTGATGCTCATTTTGATGACCAGATTAAGTAAATGCCCTTCACTGAATAGCTATTATGTCTTCTCCTTGGAGCTATGAAGCAAACTATGAAGAGACTCCTTAAAGCCCCCTGATACCTTTATAAAGTACCTTTATCTCCCTAGACTTGGTGTTTTTTGACTGAGCCAATCTTGACTATGATACTTGAAAAATAGTACTTTCCAGGCCCGCTGTTCCTTCTACATTTAACAAAGTGCAAACAATTCTGTACTAAGTCAAAAGTCTCACTCTCCCCTCCCCCACCATGCCCAGTGCCTTTTTCCTTTCACTTAATCCACTTCTCTCCTTGCTTTTGGAGACGCTCAGATTGTCTCAGTCTGGACCAGTAAAGAGCCCTTCACACATATCCTTCACATATTCATTTTCTTTTTTTTTTATTGTGAAAATACTGTACAGAGAGGTTACAATTACATGGGCAAGATAATGGGTACATTTCTTATCAAGCATTATAGCCTCCTCCTTTGTTTCCCCTTCCCATCCCTTCCCAGCCTCCCCCACCCCCCCACCCAATGCTCCCCACACCAAAGTTGTAAAGTTCATTTTCCACATAACGACTTGTACATCTCATTGTTGCAATGGGTCCACCTGTATCCCTATTTAAACGATTTGTTTTTCCCCTTCCCCTCCACAAATTATACCGACATCCAGTGAAAGCAGGGGTTATACTGTGGGGGAGGGACATACAAAGCAACAAAGAATCTTATAAATGTGTTAGAAACAATCGTAAGAAAGAAAAAAAAAACATTTGAGTACATATCTTAGGGTTCATTTCCCTAACATCACCTTATCTGACCTTTTCTGCTTGACTCAGACATATACTAGATACTGCAAATAAGGGAAACCATAGGACCTATGTTTCTTTGGGTCTGGCTTACTTCATTTAATATAATTTTTCCAAGTCTTTCCATTTTCTTTTTTTTTTTTTAATGTCAGTCGTGGGGCTTGAATTCTGGGCATGGGCACTGTCCCTCAGCAATTTGGCTCAAGCAGTAGAGCTCCACTTCTGGTTTTCTGCTGGTTTACTGGAGATAAAGAGTCTCACAGACTTTCCTGCCCAGGCTGGCTTTGAACTGCGATCCTCAGATCTCAGCCTCCTGAGTAGGTAGGATTACAGGTGTAAGCCTCTGGCACCCAGCTTCTTCTTAACTTTTTGAAATCAGAGGCAAATAAAAATAAGTTTTGTTGGGTTTTGTGCACTGTGGGGTTTTCAGGAGCAAAATGAAGGGCAGATATCAATGGTCAGCAATTCCAAAGCTATTATAACTAGATGTATCATATTTTCCTGTTTTATTATTTTCAGACTTGTAAGTTCTTATAATTACATTTCATAATTATCAAGGGTATTTGGCCAATATCCTTGGGAAGACAGGACTACGGCCTATGAAAGAATTTTAATCTAGAGTTTAATTCCATATCTGTATCCTTACGTTTAATACCAGTTCTCTGTTATTTGGGTTTCTTCAGATGACAAGTGCACACATACATTTTACTTCCTTGTAGCCTGTGGCGCTCAGTCTCTGTGGCTGCTCTGGGAGTTCATATTCTGTCTTAAGTTTTGCCGAGCAAAGCAATGTTTTCTCTTAAATTCAGTAACACTTTTAATTCACAAACTATCTTCATAGCACTCTTAGTATCTCAGTAATTTCTTTGTTGTTTTTAAGCAATGGCTTCTGGGCCAAAAGAAATACCCAGCAATTCCTTTTATTAAGGACTCAGGACCAAACCACTTAATAAATATTTATGTCTAATAGCTTTGTAGCCTCCTGAAAAAATATTATACACATAAATTAAAAGTTATATTTCCATTTAATTCTTACAGCCACAATTACTTTACCATGGTACGTGTGCACTGTGCACAGCATACAGTTTCTCAAGAAAGAAGACTGGATGCTCCCATCTGAATTTCTTAGTCTCCACTTGGTGTCACAACTGCTGAAAACCTAGCTTTGCAAAGAGATGCCATTCCTCAAAGAAACCCGTGACTTACTGCTGAACCTCTGAACTTCTGTTTAGTCTGCACAGTGCCACAGAGATGTCAGTCATCACTCCTGTGCCACTTAGAAATGCACTCTGGAGGGGTCCTGGGAATTCACTGTAGCAGTTCAGGGTATTGGGCTCCTAGTTTGCCACTGTTATATTTTAATCTGGGCTGTCCCCTTAAGGTCTAGTTGTTAAATCCTTGTTCCCCAGAGTGAAGCTATTGGGAGGTGTGGCCCAGTGTGAGTTCTGCTGGTCATTGGGTGCAAGCCAACACCCTTTCTCAACACCCATGAGGCAAATGGGCTTGCTTCCTCTACATAATGCTCCCAGCATAATGTTCTGTCACAGGCCAAAAGAGGCCAGTCAACCAGCACTGAAACCTCCAGAGCTGTGATCAGTGCAGATGTTTTTTCTCATTGATTTATCTCAGATATTTGTTAAGTAATAGAAGACGAACACAGTAACCGCATACTAAGTCCCAGAAACTTCCAGGCTTCCTGGTAAAAGAGCAATAGCAATTGGTTAATGTTAAAACACATTTTACTAACAATGGAACCTGCTGAGGTTCTTTTTCACAGAGTGGAAATGTGGTTGACCACACTGATTATTTCTCAGTCATCCAGGACATTTTCCTGTCAGACTCTACACCTTTTCTTTCTTCTTGTCTCTGCCTCAAATCTTAGCTGGATTTTGATTCATCAGGTTTGCTGGAATGACCAGCAGATCAAGAAGCCAAGGATGCTTACTGTCATCCTCTCCTAGCTTTAAGGAGTTGGGGAGAGGTTTCCTTGATTAGATTTTAATTTAACTAAGAAGCTGAGCAGTAGCACGTCTAATTCTAGGTAAATAGCTGCTTTGGGTAGCATGAAGAACCAATAAAATCATTCAAAATTTTCCTGCCGTGTTTAGAGGAGAAAGTAAAGGTAGCTATCTTCAGAAGCACAAGAATACCTTTTAACTGTATGACTCTCACAAGGGCGGCTGCCACACACTTCTCCCACTCATAAGCCTCCACCAAGCCTTACTTTGTGGAGGGGGGCACATTTCCACATCCAAACTTTCTTCGGTCTGACTCCTCTTTAACACCCACTTGAAAAAAAAAAATCTCAAGCCTTTCTACACTTTGGAGTTGATCATAGTTTATGGATTTATATGACCAAGAAGCACAAACACTCAGGAAAAAAAAAAGACCCCCGAGATTGCCAACACTTAAAAATGTCCCTTTTCCACTCAGACGCTCATCCATCCAGCTATTCAAGAGAGCTGCCCGACTTCCACTGGAGAAAGCTCTAAGGAGCAAGCGAAAAGGGCCGTGTGCGATCAGCGGGATTTCACCGGAGGGGGAAATAAAAGATTAAACACATGGATGGTGGGCACTGTGGAATGTGAGGCCTTGCAGAAGCACCGGATCCGCGTAAGAGGAGCGCTGACAGCGAACCACCGACCTCGGGGGGAGCCGGCTGAGCCCGGGCCCGGCGAACCCTCCGCAGCGCCCCCCCCCCCCAGACGGGCCGGCGTTTCCGGGAGCAGCGTTCCTGGAATCCCCGTGCTCCCCGGGGCCAACCCCGGACAGAGTACGACTCACCTGGCGCCCCCCCCCCCACCTGACAGATCCTACCCCCCACCTGGCTCCCCCCCCACCTGGCGGGACCTGGCAGACTCCCCACCCCTGGCCGACCCCGCGCTCCGAGTCGCGTGAACAAGACTTGGGGTGCAGGACTCGCTCCCCAGAGACCCGTCGGGAAGCCCCGCCCCGGCCGGCACGAGCCCGGGCGGCCACCGCCCTCGGGCCAGCGGGTCGGTGGGGCCGGCGGGGTCACTAATGGGAAACTTGGAGGAACGAGAGCGCCGCGCCGAAATAGCTCAGTTGGGAGAGCGTTAGACTGAAGATCTAAAGGTCCCTGGTTCGATCCCGGGTTTCGGCAGCTCGTTTTTAACCCGAGCTCAGAGGAATTCCAATTTTGTCTGAAACACCCGCCCTGTGGAGACTGTTCCCCGCCGTGCTCGCTTTGCCCTCGTAAACGAAGGGGACGGCGTCGCCAGCACCCGCCACAGAGCAGAAAACAGGGCAACTACTTCCAGGTTCTACTGCCGGCTCCGGGTCCGGACAGCGTGAGGCGCGCGAGAGCGCGTGCGCAGCGCCAGGGGCCCGGCTTCGGGGCGCAGTCGCGCGTGCGCACTGTGAGGGGCGTCGGGTCTCGCAGCGCCGCCTGGGGCGTTGGGGTGGGAGGGCGGCTTCGCGGAGGGAGGTTCGGGAGTGCGGGTCGGGGCGGGGGGGGGGGGGGGGGGGGGGGGGGGGGGAGCACTTGGTGACGAGTGTCCACGTTCGAAGAGGAAGCCGCGTCCTGCCGCGGGCTTCAGGTCGTCCCGCGCCACGCCTGGCGGGGCCGGGCCTGGGGGTCTCGGCACGTCCCCACCCACCTGCCTGGCCCGCAGCTCGGTCGCGGGGCTCCGCATGCTTGCTTTCCGAGATGACTGGAAACCAGCATTGGCATTTGCTTCCCTCTGTCCTGCAACTGAAATGGAAGTGACTTGCTCAGATGATGACGATGATGATGATGATGAGTAAAAGGTTCTGGGCTTCAGCTTTCCTAGCTACCTGTGGGAAGCCTCAGTGGTTGATGAAGAAAATGGAGGCCCGGGTGCCTGACTTGATAGGGTTTGGCTCCTGGGACCTGTGGAGTTCCAGTCGCCAGGGTGTCGATTTGAATGAAAGGAGGGAGAAATCAAAAGCTAGCAGAGTCACTAGCAAATGGGACAATCAGTTTAGGGAGGACGTGAGTTGTTCACAAGATGAAAAACGTCACTTGTGGGATTTTTTTTTTTGCCTTGATTCATTTTGATTTTGCTGTTTGGAGAGTAAGAGACAACTCAAATTTGCAGAGGTATTCCGTGTTATCTTTTGTTTATTCTTCTAATGGGACAGGTACTATCAGCCAACTCTCCACTTGGTACTGCGACATGGTGAACTCTTCTTAGCAACTCTCAGAAGTAGGGATCAGTAATCTCAAATTTTACACAGAGCTACCCTTCTGGGATGACAGGATTAAACAAGATCCATCTGCTATCTCCTGAGTATTACTCCTAATGTTACTGTATTCTCAAAATTACAACAATAAAAATCCATGCTCATAAACATAAGAAACAGTGTAAGAGATATAAAAAAAATCCTTTGATTAATCAGAGAGGGCTTCTGGGGGCTGGTCTTGATTGAGTCAGAGAAATTTCTTACTTAGGAAGGAGTTAATTGGCATGCAACTATAATGATGTAGGCATCCACAATGAGAACAGCATCAGTTATCAGGATACTTGGATGCCTAAGCTTCATAACTAAGGCCACATATTACTGGCAGTATGTTAGGGGAAGCCTGAAGTCATGTTCCTATTTAGCGTCAAAGATAAAGCCAGATAGTAGTTAAGGTAAAGACAGATTTTAATCAGTAATGATGATAATTATATAAATAATGCTTGCAATAAGGAAGATGGTCAAGTATGAACTGAATTCTGCTTTGGTTTGTACAGAGGTGATTGACTAGAAGAAAAGATGAGGGAGGCAGGGGTTTGGACAAGGTCAACGAAGTGAGCCTTTATGAAGGGCTGGTCAGTATAAATGCCCATCAGGCCAGCTATGTTTTCATCTTGAAGAGATGGAGAAAGAATTTACAATTGTAAGCCCTCCTCTTCCATCAGAGATCTAAGCAAGTGATCAGGGGCCTATCTCAGATGTAGGATCAGTTGTTTTTCTGCAATCTTGGGCTTTTTCAAGCAGTCACTCTTAACTGGCTGGTATCCTCCTGGGTAGTAATTAGAAACTGTGGTAGCATTTAAGTCTTTTAATGCAGGAAACAGCTGGTGGGCAAAATCATTTATGCTGCATGTCACTTGCTTTTATAGGCCAGCATTGAGGCCTAGTAGAGAAGAGTTGCTCAGAGAAGCCTGGCTAGAGTTGTCCAGGAGTGAGTCTCTTACTGGGAGTCTGCAGAAGGGAGGAAGAAGGGAATAGTTTCAGACAGGCCTCCAGTGGAAATAGTGGTTGTGAAGCGTTTCCAGATTCGTGGTATTGAGGATCAGGAAGCAGGAAAGCAGCATTAATACTCTGTCTCTGTGTCTGTCTGTCGGTCTGTCTGTCTGTCTCTCTGTCTCTCCCTCTCTCTTACATATATATACAGATACACACACTGAGAGAAGAAAAGACTATTCAGAACTTGCTCTAATATGGAACCAGCCTCAGTCTCTTGTATTGTGGCAGAGACTGAAGGCTGACCAGAAGGTGGGGGAAGTTTCCTAATGGGAGAAGGGAGAAGGGACAGATTCAGGTAGGTTCTGATTGGAGACTGCTGTCCTGGAGGAGCTGGAAGCCACTAACTAGAAGTGGGTAGTGTGTGAAAGGTTAAAGTTTGAGGCAGTAACCACTTGTTGCTTGTTTCTGTCTAGCAAAGCAACACGTGGTGGTAATCCAAACACCTGATTGATTGTGTGCCTTTATAAGACCTGCAAATCCTTAGCCTGGGTCTCTCCTCCTAGGCTCTGCTGTGTCGGAGTGGAGGACGAGGCCCGAGCTGCAGCCCGTTTAAATAAAACAGCTGTAGAGTCTGACTCTCGGTGGTCTTTTTGCCGGGGGACGGGGGGGGGGGAGGTCCTGCAAACTTGGCATAACAGTGTGGAGATACCTCCTCTCTCCCCACCACAGTTCCCAACAGGCAACCTATATAATTTGTTAGGGGCATATTTGGCCTTTTCTGGTTGGTTCTATAGTGGAAGTGGGAGAGAAATTAGGGAAGCCATCAATTACTAATTTAGCCCTGGCCATATTGGTTCTGTGGTGTAGAAATTCTTGTCTCCAGAATTTCGGTAGAGATAGAGATCTGGCTTCTTGTAAATCTGACTTAAAGCAGTCTGGCTCTTGGGCTGGTTTTGAGTGAAGATAAACCCAGGCCGATTCTCTGGGCAGAGTGGCTGTGGGTCAGAGTTCTGTATTTATGTATGATCTGGCCATCATCCGTTTGATCCTGATATATATGTTACTTTAAGATGTAATCTGATAAGTTTTATTGTCTTTCTCAGGGGTGCAACGTGCTCTCAAAGATGTCAAACAATCACTTCTCAAGAAAGAGGGCTGAGAAAGACCATCAGGTTCCCCCCTGCCCGCCCCCCCCATAAACTCTCCTGGGAGCCCCTCTGACACCAGGCAGCTCCTCCACATGCTTTCCAGCTAGAAGACAGAATGGTAGACTATGGAGTCAGCTCTTATTTTAGGAAAGACATGCTTTCACTGGAAAGCATGCCTGCATCATTTATGGTGTTGGATGAACACTAGTATCATTTATGACATTTATGAGTTAATTTCCATTTGTCAGCAAAAAGGTTGTGATTACCTCCTCCTGCTTTGGGCAATTTATCCAGGATTGTAGGAAGAAAGCATATTCTCAAATTTCCTTGGAAAGCTTTGCAGAAAGAAACCTGGGACATCAACTGGCTCATCTGAAGACTGACTGACTGACTTCCTTCCTTCCTGCTTCCTTGATTTTTGCTAGTCCTGGGCTTGAACTCATGGCCTGGCCACTGTCTCTGAGTGTCTTTCGCTCAAGTTAGCACTCTATCACTTGAGCCACAGTGCTACTTCCGGCTTTTTCTGTGTGGTACTGAAGAATCAAACCCAGGGCTTCATGCATGCTAGGCAAGCGCTTTACCCCTGAGCCACCTTCCCAGCCCCACCTGAAGACTTTCTAAGGCAATATACAAACGTATCTCTAAGTTAATGTTTCTTCATTGTTCTGGGTACTACATTCATTTTAGAACAAAGCTATGATTTAGTTAAGCTATTATTCTTGTTTCACACAATACAACTAGATGAAAATTTAATAATTCATTGTGGCCTGTCATGTAATAAATGTGTATACACACACACACACACACACACACACACATCAATGCCCATTTTAATAGTCTTGGATTACACTTAGACTTTTTAAAATGGATTGTGGCTTATAGTTGTTTATCTTCAAGTTATATTTGTCATATCTCAGATTTGTTTGATGTTGACACTTTGCCCAGATATAATTCCTGCTTGGGTTTGCTTCCGCTTCAAATAATTAATGAATCCTACACAATCATCCTGAATGTATGATATTACAATACCCTGTTTACATTCCTAACTGGTAATCTTGGAGAAATCAAGCACTTGGAGAGAACTGACAGATGGCCTGCAAACAACACAGGACAGCCTAAGAAGCACTAATTTCTATCTCTACTTATTTCAGTTTCATCACTTCCACTTTTCACCTGAGTAGTCTTTTTTTGTTGTTGTCAGACATGGGGCTTGAACTCAGGCACTGGGGAGTATCCTGGAGCTCCTGTTGTTCAAAGTTAGCTCTTTACCACTTTGAGCCACAGTGCCACTTGTGATTTTCTGGT